GGAACAGGGCACAGCACTGGGCACCCCGTGCCACAGGAATGGCCCAGCTCCTGCCAGCCTGAAAATGGGAGCAGGAAAATGGAGAAAACCCTGCTTGGACCACGAGAATTCCTGCTCTGGGAACAGCCTTAGAAATGTGGCAGTGCTGGAGCAGAAAAGGCTTCCTTTGCTGGCATTATCCCCTGGAGAGCAGGAGCAGGAAAGGGGCTGGGGCTGGGCTGGCACCACAGGCTGTGTTTAATCCCTGGGACTGTGTCAGCCCTGGCTCTGCCTGTGCAGTCTGACATCCCTGCTGAGCAGTGCCTGTCACTCCTGTCCCAACCATCCACCTGTGACATGGGCATGAGCAGCCAAAGCCTCGGGAAAGGCTGGAGGTTACAGCATCCCTCAGAACATCAACATCACAGCCAGTCCTTGTTCTCTCCCTGACACTCAAAATGTCACCAAAAAATGATGCTTGAGGTGTTCAAACACCACAAATTCCACACTGGAAACAGCATTTACAAGTTTCTTTCATTTTTCACAACAAAAGCAGAGACTGGGCATTGCTCTGTTGTAATATTTAAATAAGTACACAGGGAGTTGCTGTAATGTCACACAAAAACCCCAAAACATCCAAAAGGCACATTTCCAGCCTTCCTTATAAATGGACTGGATCAGCCCATTCCAGCCTTTTTGCAGGTTCTGATTTGTGCTGATTTATTCTCCACACACAAAGTAACCCCTTCTAAATGTGGTTCAGACCATGTAAATTCTTTGTTTATCCCTGTGGAAATCCCAAGGATTGCAAACATTGTCCAAGGACTTCCACAGCAGCAGGTACAGCATGAATTCCTCAGGGGTCTCAGGTATCCCCTGTGCTCCTCAGGAACCAGGGATTACCAGTTACTGTCTCCAGGTTCAGAGGGTTCACAGGTACAGTCCTCACACCACCCTTCCAGGACTCAACCCTTCTATTTTTATAATATCACTCTTTTCACAGAAGTCCTGAAATCCATCTTCTAGAAATGCAAGTTCAGTACAATCCTACCTAGAAAAAAAGGAAAATCCACCTGCATTGCTGAAAAACACCCAAACCAAACCCTCCCATCATTGGCTCTTCCCAATAGGATTTAATTCCCTCCCTTTGTCATTTCTAATTTTCATGTTTAAATTTGTCTAAAGGAATCAAAAGAAGAATCTTATCTCTCCTCTTCTCTGAAACAGCTCTCTATATATTCCCACTTCTTCTTAAGAGCTAATAAACTGGATTAATTTTTTTAGGTTTTTAAGTAGAAGCAAAGCTGAGCAGAGACTTAAACCCCCCCACACAAACCTTGCACAAAGCCTGGATTTCACAATCTGACTTGCAGCACAAATACACCTCCCAAATAATGCTTTCTCAAACCTTATCTGGGAAGGTTTTGCAAAATAGGCATCAAGCACTAATTCTCTTTACACCACTAAAATGATACTTACAGCTGGCAAGGAGTGGGATAGAATTCCTTCAGTGTAAGGAGCTGTGTGCTGCCAAAGCCAGCTAGGGCTGAGCTGCATGTTTGAAATATCTGCTGCTCAAAAGCTTTGCTTTGCTGCCTGCTCCAGTGGCAGTGGCACAGCAAATGTCATTTGATGGGCCACAGCACCCAGGGTGGGTCTGCACAGCCCCATCTGAACCCCAAAGCCATGGGTTGAGCTGAGTCCTCTTAAGTCTGCAATCAAAAGCTGCCAGGATGGCAACACCCTCACTCTTTGCTATCTGCCTCTGTAGAAAATCACAGCTATTTTAACTTTTCCATTTCTGTGGATCCAGCCTCCCTGCCAGAATTCTCTGTGTCCAACTGAGCAACCCAGGGTACAGCTAAGGCTGCTGCAGTGGCCCAACACCAGCACTGGAAGCACATCCAAGGGGTGAGGAAAGCCAAATTTGGTTTTCAGGCCTTTTCCCTCCCTCCTTCAATATCTTTGGCCTGATCCAGATGCACCCTGCCAAAATCTGTCCCCACTGCACCATCATTCCATGAGCTATTTCACACCTCCCATTCCATTCTCCTATGGGGCCAAATCTGCAGCCACTGCTGGTGTGCAATGTGTGATGGAATGGAATCTTTCCCTGGACCCTGGGAGAGGCCATGGGATGGCAGGGGTGAAGGATCTCCATGGCAGAAATGATGCTCAGCTGTGCAGTTCCTCCCATACCTTCCTGGTCATTGGATCCAAATGTCACAAATTTCTCAGCTTTCTATGGATCTGAGAGACAGGGACATGCAGTAAATATGGGTGAGGGTGATTACAGGCTTGGGGAAGGGGGAAGCTCCAGCTAGCCAGGGGGAGTACTTTAAAACAGAAGAAAGATAGAAAGGAAAAAAAGAAAAAAGAATGAAAAAATACAGGAAAAGTAAGGACCAAAGGAAAAAGAGAAAAGGGAAAGAGGGGAAAGGGGGAAAGAAGAAAAGGGAAAAGGGGAAAAAGGGGAAGAGAAAAAAGAGAAAGGCAGAAAGGGAAAGGGGGAAAGAGAAAGAAAAGAAAGTAAAAATAAAATGGAAAAAGGAATAAAGGGAGACAAAGGTGGCAGGTTCTATGTTCATCCTTTAACTGGGCCAACTCCCAGGGCTTCCATTTGAGTTCAGTCAAACACTGGGGAAGGGAAGGGAAGGGAAGGGAAGGGAAAGGAAAGGAAAGGAAAGGAAAGGAAAGGAAAGGAAAGGAAAGGAAAGGAAAGGAAAGGAAAGGAAAGGAAAGGAAAGGAAAGGAAAGGA